CTTAGTAGAATTTTTGGTTCACTGTAAATCTGTTTTTAGAGGGCGGTAAAATAATATGCATACAGTGGCAGTTTAGCAGCGGTCTCAATAGACTTCAATGACTACAACTCAATCAATCAATCAACCAAATATTTTATTTTACCTAATAATGTACACTTGTAGTTTACAAAACAACTCCTTTTATGAACCCACTAAAAATATAGTAAATTTTCTGAGACATCAAAAAAAACGTGTAAAAAAATATGTTTGCAATTTATGATTCAACGCATAGTTTCAGTGCTGAAGCAACACTGTGGGGTAAATTGTTGGCTTCAAGAAGCTCTTCGACCTATACAACTCGTGATGATAAATCTTCGGCATTTTTTTAATGATATGATCAACCCGTAGCTGTACACTATTGTCCAATAACAGAGGCTACACGTACTAATACAATAAGTTAACTAAATTTGGCTGATACACTTGAAACAAAACAGTAGATATGCCATCATTAACTTGAAGAATACAAAACTAATGAACCAAACTAGAAAAGTACAGTGTGGTGTTGTAGTGTCAATCCCGTTCGATCCCTACACTTTACTAACTGAGCGAACATTAGCACGAGACAAACTGTCCTATTCAGGACCACTACATCATTCAGAGAGTGGCTACCATTACATTATTGTTTCAATGTTGTTTTAATATTTAACATCAGGTGCTTGAACGCGATCTTCATTACGCCATCGCGGAAAAACCGAATAAAAACAACTTGTTTTGGTTGGCTGCTGTTGAGCTGAGACGGCATAACACTGGCACGATTGACATTTAAAGCTCGTTGCCACATAAATGCTCATTACTATGCATTACTCATTACATTACTCTGATAGTTACCTCACGGAGTCAAGTGATTTAAACAATGATAATTATTTTAATTAATACTGTTTGTTTTATTATGTAGGGGGTTCGACTGAACCCCACGACCCCCCCCCCCCAAAAAAAAAAAAAACTAAGGGCCTTCTGAATGACTTGTTTGTTTATTCACAGTATTGTAATGCTAGGCATTGGTTTGTTCATGGAACTATAGTTCCATGGTTTGTTTTAGCGCAGTCATTGACCCTAGAGAATAATATTTGTGTTGCACTCGGACTCAGGTAGCCTGACAAGGTCACACGAGTCGAGCCCTCCGCGGTGCTTCAAACCTAAATCAAAATCAGTGAGGTCTTATGCCGTTCAGCGAAGGCGCTACTTACACCTACATGTCAGATTAGGACTAAGGCAGCAGGTCTCAAAGCCAGGTTGAAGGAAGCCGCTGTCATGTGGTAATATTCACCCAATCACTGAATCGTTCAAATTCAAAAGGATACAATTTCTCAGTCATCTAGCAGCAATTCAGTTGGGTGAATAAATATTACAAACAAATATCTGATTGAATGCGATCAAGATGTTGTGAACTTAAGTTGTGGGGGGTTAATTTTTGTATATGGTAATCATAGAGTATTTATGAGCTGACGTCACAGTAAAGGCACATCCTGTTCTCCGATAAACGACACAACCGCTTTCGAGGCAATGTAAACTGGATTTCGACAAAACACACTGGACTTAGAATATTTAGTCATTTTAGTTTTCGCCTCACTATTTCCCGCCATGAGTTCACACACGTAAACCAAAATATTGTTTCCTACTTAGTTGCCATAGTGATATATGATGTGTTCGGAGTGGCCCTCTAACAATTGAATGATTATATTTTTTATAATTAAAAAAAAATTATAATTAATTGCAGTTGTACAAAAATTATCTACGTTTAGAATCGAAAATTTGGACGCACATCTACGTCAATAAAAACAAACAGCAGTGCAGTGAGTCAGTGCAATTGTTGATTCATCCTACATAGGTGATTCACTTTGCGATCATTGTGCAAGGCCGAGGAGCTTGTTGGTGGCGCTCTTTGTCAGCGTGGTTAAACAGCAAACCACATACCGGTAGTTGTGAATGACCTTCGTGTCTGTTCCACGCACACGTGACGATAACCGAGGTTTTAATCAAAAACTTGGCGAGCCCACAAGACACGATGCCTGATGTAAACGGTGTGAACGGGGAAGAAGAAGGTAAGACGATAAAATAATATATAGTGTTGAACCGCTTCAAGGAAATGTGCGCTCGCTCGGGTTTTAACATAGATAGACGCAAGACAGCGGTCGGACTTGTTAGTTAATGATGTTTTAAATGAATCACGAGTGACTTCCTAGTTTCTCAAAGACGTCGAAGTTGAAAAAAACGAAGTAATAACCCTGTTCTTAAGTATCTGAATCTTGTGTTCGCCTTGAATATTTATATGAAGACTAACGCCGGGCAAAACGCCACACCAACCTCGAAAGTGACCTGTAGCCACCAGAAGGACACCGTACCGATCAAGATTTAAATAAATAAATAACATTGTCCGGTGTTCATTATATTTCATCAAATAAAATACACTAGCGAACATAACTGGATAACGGGAATCGTTTGATAACAGTGGACTTTGACTGTGATCGAGTTTGACACGGAAAAAACATACATTTTTAAAAATTATATGGCAATGCATTCAGCGGAAGTAGACTCTGGCATTGTGTTCCCAATTGCCGTGCAAGTGTTCTTTCATGGTTTCTTTGTACGTAGTTGTTATGTGTAGTTCAAAAAAGACTGTATTTTTACATTACAACATATACATTATTACATAGGTTACAAGTGCTGTTACTGAAAATTGTAATTTGTAAATTTAACTTTGCGATGGAAACTGCTTCCCATTTTATCTTCTTTTTATAGTGTCAATCATTCTAATTACTCGAGAGAAAAATCTTTGAAACTACTCGTTTCACCGGTTACGTAACGATAACACAAGCTGTAGCCTTATTGTCTTTTGTCATATTTTTTTTAATATGCAAATTGCATTGACGCTCCTGCTGTGACGTCACAGGTTAGAACTGAAATACCGACTTGCGCCGAGAAGTACAATATTATAATTGTGCACATTTCATATTCATAACCTATGACCCGACTGTGGAGATCATGACCAAAATATAGTCACCAAGCTTTCATAAATTATTTTCCACATGCTGTCTCTTTGCATACGTGCTCAACAGGGCTCAGAATATATATATTAGTACTGTTTCATTGACGTGCCGAGAATGCCGGGCGAGAATGGCGTACTTATGCAGTATACAAGCAAAGCGCATGTCGTTTTATCAGTGATATTGGTATACTGCGGTTCTATCAGACGACGTCTGTCGCATATTTGTATTGCACACGTCTGTGTTTACATTGAATCTGGATACCATTTTCTGTACATATTTCCGGGAGTTTTTTTTTTAATTTTCAGTTTTCTCAAACCACCACGTTTCCACAATGGTTTGAAATTGTTACTGACACAAAATTTTTACAACCGTCGTCTTCAATGTTTTCAGCAAGCGCACAATCGATACGCGGGAAGCCACAAAAAGGACTCTTCCTTTGTTGTATTCAAGGAATCGTCACGTGATCGTGATTGACACTTGTGTTGATTTCAGACACCTTTCGTCTGGAACCCTTTGTTTTCGAATTTGGTGGAACCATGGAACTATAGTTCGTGGAACCATGGAGGTAAAAAAAAAAAAATGCCTCAATGGTGGGACATATCACTAGCACATAGTAAATAGGTTTTTTTTTAAGTATCAGTACAGGAACATCCATGTCTATTTCCACAAAATAAATCACCACTCTCTTGAAAGCGAAGTAAAACAGAATCGTACACGATTGGTATTATAACCATTACCCAATGCTTTTAGTGTAGTCATGGTTACTAAACTCTGTTAGTAGCCGTGGTGTTGCTCATACACTTGATACGTGACCAATATAACCGTCAACGTTAGTGGGACGTGCGATCAAAAAAGAGAATTTAGACAATGTAAACACCCAGTTACTTGTAGTTTACGTACGTCTGTCACGTCGCGCACAGTGTACACGAGCATTTTTCAGCTGTTTAGGCATGCGCAGAAACGTCTCAATGACGACATGATGAAACCATACCGATTAATCATGCATAAATAACCTTATTTGTATGAACTTGTTATTGATATTTCGGTTTTTGAAACTGCCCACTGCCGCCCAATAAACTGGTATCGCGGAAAATGTTGCTCATGTATACCTTCTTACGAATACGTGCCAATGTAAATATGCAAATTAGGCCCAAGTTCATTGTACACGTCATTGTATATCATTGAAAACCAAACAGGAGGCTGAATTGTGTTACCGAGGTACATAGGTCAAATGAGAAACGCTAAATAGCACTATATTCTCTCTCATAACTTGGTGATGCTGTTGCCATTGTGAATGACCCCAGACTGCAAAGTGTCAAGCTACAGTTTTCAACTTTAAAAAATATCTTTTGTTCTGTGAAGAAACTGGGTATTCAGTTTTTAGTGTTCTAAATTATTGCCAGTGGTGTGGGAACGTTTTGTTTTCAATATATGGCTATAATTAACCAGTGCGTTGACTTTTACATGTATGACACGTATAAAACTACATTTATTCTACCTGAAAAAGCTCTAGTGTCCTTTCGTCTTTCTACGGTAGCCCAGAAGTACCGCAAAACGGTCAGAATTGTATGGGTGTGTTTTATTCAAATTCAACCTTATTTGCGATGCTGTGCCATTCATGAAGTTTGCGGGCAACGGAATATTCTGAAGGAATCCCCGTCGAAGTCGCCAAAGATTCATTTAATATAATTTCCTACTTAAACTAAAATTTTCGGGCAATCGGTGGAAAAAAGATCATTTGCCAGAGCACACAATATTTTAATGCTGTCTCCATGGGCAAAAAATAGTCCGATAGTAACTAATTACCGCTAACATTAAAACTCGTTCTTACGTCAACATTTGGCTTAACTGAATTTTTAGTGCATCTTCGAATTGTATAATGTCTACGTACGTGAATTGTGACTTGCTTAGCGTGCACGATTGTGCGATAAGGCGGATGGATACAATGACGTACAGAGTAATTGCAACGTATAGCTGGGTTTCGTGAACTACGGTGACTCGCGATAGTCCCAACTTTGCGCACTGTATTGTGCACTTTTTGTAAATTTTGGCACCAGTTTTGTGCCCAAGGGCCGACAGTTGTCGCACAAATGGTTATGGCCGACAGAAACGGCGATTCGGAGATGAGCACTCGTAATAATGGTTCTCACGTCGCTGGAGCCTCCAACGGACACATGTCGGACGACAGCGCCAGCAGCAGCTCGGATGATGAACACGGTATTCAGATCCTGCATTGAACGAATGATACTTTGCTATTCGGAGAAAAAGTAATTTTGATTCAAAGTACCGAATGTACAAGTCTAATTATGACATTTTCTTTACTTGCAGAGCCGGGAATGCGAGTTGGCGAAGATTATCAAGCCCCGATTCCGGAGATGGCGAACGGTACTACAAATTGTTTTCTTTGTGTGTCCACCTACGGTTGCCTTTATTTAACAGTGACCTCCAAAAATGCGAAGCTACGCATAATTTTTCAGGAACAAAGAACCATTTCTGAACGTCTCATTTTCCACATTTTTCAGTTTATCGAGTATAACATTGACCCTCATAACTCTAATAAAAATCCCCAGGCTGGATTTTCATGGAAAAATAGGTAGGCAAATGCACCTAAAAAAAATTCATGGCATTTTCCAACATTTGCATAATAATTTGCATATGTGCTGTTTTAGACTTTGTGCTCTTAAACGCTACTTCGCACATATATTATCAAGATTTTAAGGTAGTAAGATATCCTGAAAAAAATGTGCAGTTCTTTCTGAATAATTTTCAGATTTGTTTTCCCTTGTTGGGAAAAATATTCCTATGTACGTGTTCTGAATATTTAATTAGATAGATTCACAATAATTATTTGATAGGCTGCTGATGACTGTCTCAGATGACAAAATGGGAATAATTAAAATGCTTAATACATTTATACATAGAATAAACACATGTTAATTATTGTTTTTGCCTTTTTGAATTGATTGAAGACTTTATTTGCTTTATTTGTTTTAAATGGCCAATGCTGTATTTTTAATGAGCTTGATATTTTTGCCTGTTTTAGCCGAGACTATAAACTGGTCGAGTACATGCATTCAATCAGAACACTATTTCATCTTGAAAAATTGTCAAGGTCAAATGACTCAGTCTTGTTCAGTTCTGTTATTGTTGCTTCATAGTGATATATTATTATAATTTATGATAAGATATTTTTTATTGATTCAAAATAATAGAATTTCTAATTTTTAATAATTTTCAAAGCACAGGTCTGTTAGTTGGAGGTAGTGTTTTGTTGTATGAATCTTGGCCTAAATTTAAGTGGATCTTGGTGGTGTGATGGCTATCAAGCTTCTGTTGTTTAAATGTAACATTTGCTTATCGATAACTACAATCTTATACCAGACAAGTCTTAAAAAGTTTCCTGTTTCAGAACTAATGCATTTTTAATTTTTTTTTTCAGGCTTTAGTTTTGTTCAAGAGATTGTTTAATTTTACACATTAACTGATTTATATTTGAAAAAAAATATTTAAGTAAATATTTAGTGATGTTTCAAATTAGTACATTTTTTTCACATGGAAATAAATTTAATGATTGACATGGGACTGTAATAACAATGCCCAGGAACATGATTGCCTTCAGTGCCATAAAAAACTGAAAAAAACTGCAACTGTAACAACATAAATTAAGAAATAAATGCAGCAATCATTTGCTGTCTCTCATTCTATTCACAAATTTATCGTTTAAGCCATCTGATAACTACTTGTTTTTTTTCTGAAGATTCTGACATTGTGCAGGTGATAATGATGTAATAACAGATTTTTTTGGAAACAATGACTAAAAAGTTTGTAATTATTTTTTCAATGCCTATTTGATCAAACCATCTAAGAATGTACATCCTTGATTAACAAACAGGGGTCGAAATACTCTGGTGCACACTGCACTATGCACATAGATTATTAGCTAGTGCAAGTAAACTCAAAATACAATGTGCACGCTGTGCATGTGGAAATTAACACAACATTTTTTCATTATATTCACTAAGCCTAAATTAAGTTCAACCAACATTGTAAGACAACTAAAAAATCAATCATCAATCGATAAACCGTAAATTTTATTTAAACTTTAAAAATGGTGCATTTCACAACAAGTTAGTGCAGGTAAATTTCAAATTCAACATGCACACTGTGCATGCAGGGAAAAAATTCTATTTCAATTCCTGACAAATATTTTAGAATATAAAAAAAGTATACAGATCTTTACTAATAAATTTAAACTACAGAGATTTAAAAATTAATTTTAATAAATTTTGCTTCAACAAATGCGATGCATACCTATCCCAAGATTCAAACTACATGTGTTCTTTGTGCATGTATTGCGTGTCGTATTTGAAACCATCATAAACTGTTCTATTGTGTAAATGCCTAAGCTTCACCTGCTCATCTCCTACTGCTCTCATCATGCCATTGTAAGGATCATACCTTATCTTACTTTCTAAAGGAAGTGATAACGCCTCTATCACTTGCTAGGATCAAGACCCAGCAAAGCTAATTATAATTCCTCCTAAGAGATTTTAATAGCTTAGCTTACCTAATCACCTGCGTGTAACTGTGTTCAGGAGATCCATTTTTAGTTTCCAGGCCATTTTCAAAAGGCAATGCTTATTATATTGATTTTTAGAGCTTTTCTTTTAATTAACCTTTCAGGCTTATTCATTAGCTTTTAAAATTGTGATAGTAAATCACTGATTTACAATATGTATGTTACATTTTCACATTGTTTTTATATTTAGTGAGTTTTACTGATTATCTAAGCAAATAATTGATTTATTCACAGTATTATTCAACATTGAGTGTGATCAAATCTATGCACATGACATCACTACTGATTATTTGATTATTTCTCAAAGTAGACAGAAACTTGTATGTAGTTATCAAGTTACATGTCTGATTCTATTTTAGGTAACTGCAGTTAATCTCAATTAGATTCTATAACCTAAAACTATCTAGTTTTTCTCTTGTGTTAATTTAATTAACAGACCATTGTTAATGTAAATATAATGTAACAAATTTTCTAAATCTCTAATATAAGTCACACCCATTCCTTTTGAACAATTGAGAACCAAAAATTCACCATTTCTCATACGTATGTAGATGCTCTAATAGAAGTCCTACCCCTCTGTTAAATTGTACCATTTTAATAGAAGCCGCAGCTTCTAATACACATTTTACAGTACTTGATATTTATTTTGCATTTCTGTTTAACCTTTTAAGCAGGTGATATCCCTCCGGGTCAACGAGGTGACGGCAGACCAGAAGCTCTTCTTGTTTGGGCTCCAACAACTGACATTGGTGATGAAAAATGTAAGTGATCCACTATTTATGAAATTGAATAAGTAATGAATTATACATCAATTTGAATATGAATAGAGTAGATTTGACTGTTATGTTTCTCCTCCTTGTTGAACTATTTTGTCTTGGTTTGGTAACAAAGCTGACTTTGATTTGATTTTTATTACCACTTGTGGATGATTGCCTAGTGATGTGAATGCATGTTGGAATTTTGTTTAATTATTGTACTTCAAAACTATAAATCTTATGTTGTTTCTAAATAATACTCTTTGAAATGAATCAGTTACTTACAATCTACAGAATCACTAGGATTAACAGTCTTGTTTCTGTTATTACTTCAACAGTGGATGAGTACATCAAGGTAGCCAAGGAAAAATATGGATACAACACTGAGCAAGCACTAGGAATGCTTTTCTGGCACCGGCATGACGTTGATAAATCCCTAGCTGATTTACCTAATTTCACCCCATTCCCTGATGAGTGGACCGTTGAAGACAAAGTTCTCTTCGAACAGGCTTTCAGTTTTCATGGCAAAAGTTTTCATCGTATTCGACAGATGGTAAGCATCATGATTTAGGTGTTGTATTAGCTTTCTCTTGTAGTGAGTTTTCAATGCAGAGCAACTGAAAACCTACTTTGTGTACCTGTATTGCATATGGGTGTCCCTCTAATATTTGGATGAAGTGGTGTTTGGAGTAAACACAATCTTTCAACATGTTTTCCTTGTTTCTGTTACAGCTACCAGACAAATCTATCAGCTGTCTGGTACGATACTATTATTCATGGAAAAAAACTCGTACAAGGACCAGCTTGATGGATAGGCAAGCGAAGAAACTAACTGTCGGACAAAAGGAGAACAGCGGGAGGTGTGTATGTGTACTTTGATTTATTAAAAGAATCGATTTAAATATTATGTTGAATGATTTGACAAGATAATTATCTTATTAGGCCACATGCAACCTGTCAAATGTAATTGTAATTAATTCTTGTCGTCTTTAATAATAGTGAGGAGCCGCCGTCAGATGAAGAAAATGTTGTGGACAGTGACTTCGATCCAGAAGGACACAGGGTAGGTTGGCTTTTATTATTATTTGTGCCATTATCTGAGTAACATAATGCTTCGTACTGCTGGAAATATTCACAATTTCATCATTTGAAATGGGGAAAAAATTGTGAAATAATATATATCTGTTCTTGTTTTACAGGGAGATGGTCGTGATAAACATACATGTTCCAATTGTCAGACATCTTCAAGTCAGGTTCATTCAACTCCTAAAGGATCATTGTGCAATGCTTGTTATAGTTATTGGAGGTGAGTTCAAAGGTTTTCCCCTTAAACATACCAGTTTTGGTCTACCCATGGATGTATTTACGATGATGGCTGGGTCATTTTTACCTCATATGCTATGCCTTTATATGATTGTAAGCACATGAAAGCCACCTTAGTGAATTTAACAAGATTATTGAGCACTATAATCTGCAAAGTCATAAGTTGAAATGCAATAAGCGGTTGTCTTTGTTTTGAACTCTGTAATGATGGATGTATTTTGTGACGGTAGTATTTGACCTTGACCATGAACATAAAAAGTCTCTTGGGGGAAGAAACTGATATCTAACGTAATGTAGCAAAAAGTTCTATTTGAAGTGTTGGCGGGGGTCACTTTGGATGTGAATTTATTTGGTTAGCTTTTTTGTATTTCAAACAAATTCATATGGCACTTGAATTGTGATGTAGAAAGTTATTGTAATTACTGGATCAATGTACATTCATGGCTAGCTCTTGTGTCAGAGTTAGCCAGCAAATCAGTGCATTTGAGGTACATTATGGTTTCATGCCTGTAACTTAACGCCTAAGTGTGTCTGCTTCCCTAACCAACCTCACCGAATGGCTTATCTTGGGACTGCTACCTTGGGGTACCATCTGTGATAGATACAATGACATAAATTGCTACACTAACACTGATGAGTTACATCTATAGTCACCTTTATGACTTTGTGTTGATGTAATACTATATCCTGAAATGCATACAAAACATAACTTGTACATTACATGACATGAATCAATTGACGTAATTTGTCAGCATTTTTTTGTCTTCATATTTGTACTCATTCTCTTTTCTCTTTATGTTAATTCATAATTTGTCTTTGTTTGCATGCTGTTTGTTCATCATATGTCCTGAGAGGAATCCAGCTACTCACTAAATTAACAGTCATTTTATCAGTATAGGAATCCTGAATTGAAATTGAGATGTTAATTATTTAAACAGTTAGCATTAGAGGCTTCATGGGTTTGAAATTTTTAATTGGTCGCCCATCCATTAGTTACAACTAAATTCGTTGATTTCTCTTCCATGACTTCAGACATGCCCCGGAGACATCCCCTCGGATTCGAATGACAGCAACATGATGAAACCAATCCAGACGATATCGTGATACCTGTTCTTCATCTAATACTGTGTTGAATTACTGGTAAATTTCTTACCTGCAATAGTTTGACACCTGGGGTCTGACTAAACTTGTCCAAATTTTAGTGCAATTCAAACAGAATTCCTGACGCCCATCAATGAAAGTACTAAATTCTTATGGCATAGAATTTTTAAGTCGCTGCTCTGTACACTGAAGGATATCATGATGATACTGCAAAGTACGGTGAAAGTAACAACTGATGCGACTGTTGTACCATCTTGAGTGCATATTTTGCAATATCTTCATATTAACTTCACTTATACACATTCTTGAGTCAACGAAATGGTGCATAAAGTCAAGGACTGTTAAAGTTTGTGAAAACTAGCATAATTTTTTTTGGCGTGCACTTTGTTTTGAAACACTGCCACCATCTTTGAGATGCGTACTCTGACAGATGTATATAATACTATCAGATATGTAGAACCTTGTAGTAATGCAAACTTTGAAAATCTTATTGTCCATTGTGACCATACTTTAAATTGTACAGTTATTATCTCTACCTGCAATCAGTAAATTTCCCTAATTTCTAGACTTGTTACACTTCTACTTAGCGATAATAATCATGGTCTTGGCAAAATACATTTGCTTGGAAATTAGAGTTTTATATCCACAATGTAAGTGGTGCTCAAAGTTGCAATATCTGCTCTTCAGACTAACTGTAATTTAAAGGTGGTTTAGATTGTAAAACCAAGAGTAAATATTTTACAAAAAAAAAAGAAAATAGATGTATAAAACTTGGTCTCTGTAACTTCATATCTTTTATTCAATTGTCATATACAAGTCCAGCCAGTCCGTTCAGGACTTTTATTTTTATTACCTATCGGTCACATTATCAATTTTTATCGGACACTGTAATTTCTTTTTGAGTCTATATTTGAGTGATTTTTTTTTTGTACACATGGCATGAATTTGTATATTTTATGTAAATTATGGACCATCAGTGGTTTGAAATTAAATTTTATGATTGACCATTGCTCTGTTTATTTCTCTCTTGTTTGTGATGTTATTGTTTTGTGTTTGTCCTATATGTAACCAAGTGCCCAACATTACACATTGCTGATCAGATGGGATGTTATTTCTTCTCCGATATTTCATGCCAATATTGTTTATCGTATTTTTTGACTATGCATTTGGGAAATTGCCATTGTCGTGTAACAGCTTTGTTTGTGACAAATTTTCTTGCAGTGGTATGTATCTGATCAGCATGGAGTTTTCATTTGAAAACAATGCATACCTTTGTATGTAGCATTTCCCTACAATTTGTTCAGTTCAAAATGTGAGAATTTGCTATCTGTTGACTCTCTTCTCTTCAAAAAATTAATGACTACAGTTTTATACACAAGCAGGTAGCTTCTAATTATATACATAATTCATGGTTTTCAATTCTCTGAATAATTAGTATATGTAATAAGATGCTATTTTATGTAAGAAGAGACATGTAAATTTGAATAATAATCCTATTCTTGTATATATTTAATGAGTGCACAGTGAAAGTTATAAAACCATAATTCCATTTAACACACTAATTCCAAGCATGAAATGAATAGGCATACAAGTGAAAGGAATTAATAACACAAGTGAGACCTCATAAATCTGGTGTCAATTTTTCTGATGTATTTAAAAAACACATACATTGTGCTGTTTTTGTGTGTGTCTAGGTTGAACTTACAATAGCCCAAATCCCTTGGTGTGTATTTGCATCAATTACACACGGTCTAAATGATTGTCCATCTATTATGCCTACTAGTTTGTAATGTAGGAATGAAGGACTGATATACTCCCTAAAGGTTTCACACAACTAGAATTTGTATCAAGGTGGGGTCACAAATGCATTTCTCTACATTTTAAAAACCATTCTTTGCAAGGGTTAGCATGCTTGTATTTCAACTGGCTTTATTTAATGTGCTACCAAAATCAGATTTTCAAGAAACGATTCATGGTTATAATCATTACGGTACTTGTAATATAGTATCTTGATTTATTAATTTGTACTCAATGTTGAATATTATTCATATTGATAAATCTTGAATATATTGCCTTTATCTCTACTCTAATTAGGAGAACTGGGGTGATGCGGACCAACATAGGGCCAATAAAGAATGAAACTCCAAGACCAGATAGACATAATCCATTGAAAAGTAGACGCAAACCACCAAGAGGAATGTACTTAGATAAAGATGATTTATTGGCATTAAATTCACCTCAGGGAGATTCATTTCTTAAACAGTTGGACACAGAGCTTATTTCGCTTAAAAAGCAGGTTTGTCATTATTTTTTTCTCTTTAATGCAGTCCGTCTGTTAGCTAATGAAAGTTGATCAGTATATTGATCGATTCCAAGATGGCAGATGGGCAATCCTTTTTTTTACATTTTGCCAACAGAGACATGTTGTCTTGCAGTCAGATATTTAGCATGAAGCTGGAACATACACAATACAGCAATATAAACGCTGACTTTTCACTTGTCGTATATTAAAAATCTTAAAAAAAAAACAGAGGGACTGTGACATTCTCGATGGCTTGTTATTTGTCAATTGGATGTGTGTGCAAATGCCAGGTCATATAATTAAAATTAATTTTTTTTTTACCAGATGCAATTAAATAAACAAATTTTGAGCAAGCAAAAAGACAAGTGTGAATTCAACTTGGAAGAGTATAAGATATTGGACAACGGTCAAAGAATCAATGCACGATGGACAAATGATGAACTGCTTATTGCAGTGCAAGGTAATGTGGAGAATGGCTTCTATTCATGTATCTGGATTAACAAATTAGATTTATCACTTTCACATCAAACAGAAGGTAGGTCCTTGGAAGTGTTGCATGTTCTGGTCACTGCCTATGTAATATAAGTAATGTATGAAGCTTTGATCAATGTTTTCCTTACTTCCAATTTTTGCTAATCTGTACATAATGGCTACCTTTCATCCATTTTTTGAGCATTGGTCAGTTTGAGGTAACCTGTTGATTAGAGTTGTTTAATGTGCTTGGTTTTATGTCTTGTTAATTACAGCTGTTCGAAAATATGGAAGAGATTCTCAAGCTATTGCCGATGTTGTGGGAAACAAGAACACCTCGCAAGTTCGAAGTTTCTTTGTCAACTACCGACGTCGTTTTAACCTGGATCAAGTCTTGGAAGAGTATGAAGCTGAATATGGTCATACTAAACAGGATTACAAAATTTTTGATGAAGAGGTAACATTATTGTCACTTAATAAATTGCATTTCGCTTTGTAAATATGTAAAGCATCACTACTAGAACAAGCTATAAACATTAAATTCCTTGAAATGATACTGTTTTAGCTATAAAAAAAAAAAAGTATATATTACAAATTAGATACCCTGACTTTACTCATTTCATTTTGAGAGAACTGGAGGGTCCCTTAGACGAGCATACCTAAGATGTTACTGATAAAACCACCTATTGCTTTTCTTAACTTAAGAGACCGTTTAAACTCTTTTTACTCATTCACAATCTCAACAACAGATTGTCAAAATGCCATCCAAGATTATGCTGATCCAACAATGTTTTGTCACTGTTTAATGCATGAATCTAACGTGAATTTTTATTCAATTGTAGCGTATAAATGGTCAGAATGTGGCCCATTCGGCGACACCAGTTGTCACTCAAGTACCACCGACAAGTGGGAACTCTACGAATGCTCCTCCACCTCCTCTCTTGAGGGGACCATCTACTTCTTCTCCATCAGCTCCAGCTACTGCACCTCCAACTCAGCCCCAAGTTGTACACAGACCACCACCACCATTACAACAACCAAGCAGGTAATGCTCATACAAGTTGTAACATGAAAGCATTTTCATATTAAGTAGTTCATTTACATATTCTAGTTAGGTATGGAATGCTTTAGCATCTAATTGATATAATTAAAAAAAAAATTGTAACATACAAGTTTGCATATTAAGTAGCTTCTATGCACAATTTAGGTTAATATACAAGGAGACTTTGCGATTATATAATATTTGCTTTTTACTTTCCAGATTTTTGCAGCCTCCACGTTCTGTGCCCATCCAACCACCTCCTTTAATACGTCCATCAACCGCACCATCGATGATGGCAGGAATGACGCGTGGTCGCCCACATATCATGGGACCCTTAGGTACACCACCTCAGCTCGTTGGTAGTCAGCGAGATACACCTCCACACAGTACTCAACAAATCAAAAGTGAAATTACATATTAGTCAAAACACTTATTTATTGATTTTATTTTGAGCAAAGCTTGTATTGCAATCAAAAATTGTTAGCAGGGGGTTATTTGTAATTTTGTTTGTAAGAATGAATAATTAAATAAATGATCATTTTTGTTTTTTCTTCCCTACTGTGCTTTTTCCAATGTTTTTGGTTAGGTAAACAGTAAAGGCGACTCAATATTTCTACCTCATACTTGCTAAATAATTTTCAGTGGTATTACTTTAATAGCAAGGATACATTATTGGGAATTTAATATCATGTCAGTTAACATTTTAAATTAGTTGTACGTTTGACTGAAACATTTTTTTAAAAATATTTTAAATAATTGCAAGTTGGTGGGGGTGGGTGTATAGTTACATTCAATCTTTACATTTCAGTGAGATTGCTTATACAAAATGACAAATAGTTGTTCAATTACAATTTTGCTTGGACAGTTACCATGGCAGTCATTTAATCATGTTATCTTATTTAGTATGTTTCCCAATAATGTACTCTTCATTTAAAACCCCAATGGTGAGCAGCCCTACCATTAGTTTGGAAGTCGGTCATTGTTGTGTAAGTTACAGCAAAACTTTCTTTTCAGTAGTGGGACATATCAACGTCAGCACGTTTTCTATTTATTTGTAACATTTCATAGTTTTTAGTTTTCAGTTTGAATTGTGTAATAATTACAGAAACAAATTAAAGTTATTTAAAAGAAATTGTGTGTTGTTTATGTCCTCTTATCCTGTAATGGTGATTAACCTTAATCATGTAGTTCACTGATAAATACATTTATAAGGTGCGATATCCACAGGTCATGTGCCCATTGTTCTATACTAAGAGATGCATATCAAAAGGACACATACAATCTAAGGAGGATAATGTGCAGGATCAATGGATGTGCTTGTGATATCTGAAGGTCAAGTCGTATGGCCCTGGAACAGCATTGTTAAAAACAAATGGCAAAAATCCTGGCAGACAGCGAAACAAGACATTTGTTGCCATTTATACTCACTCGTATTTTATTTAATTGAAAAAAAACGCCAAAACTTGACTGTATGCAAGTCTAATTGCAAAAGTGAATGAAATGTTCATGCATTCCTGAGAGCTGGTTCTAGAATGGCAGAAATGCTCTTTGATGAATATTTAACACTAAGTGATGCCATTTGGTCATCTTGAACTGAATGTGCTTATGTATGATTCAAGTTGGCTGATCATAATTGTTTGGCTAGAAATGGATCAAGGTCTTGTGTCACCAATTAGCATTTGTAGGCCTCAAACCGTGGTTATTAGCCAATGTGTTGTGTGAGGGCAAACTCCAAATTATGGCAGTTTTAAATTCATGTGTAAAGTTGTGCTTAATGACAACTATCTGTGAATCTGGGAGACCCGATTACCTGCTTTTTTGAGAACTTTGAAGGTAGAAAGCCTGACAAATCTGCATTTACATCCATTTTGTAGGAGTTTGAGCTTGCAAACATGTTTTTCTGGGCAGAAATCTATTGCAAACAATCTAGTAGCACAAGCTCTAAATTGTGTGTGATTGGCAGAATAAATGAAGGAATTGCTTCATTTTGTATTATGTCTGTCACTAGTGTGTTAAATCATTTGGCACTAATGACAGTCACTGCAAACTGGATTGGAACTTGTCATTGACGACTTATGGCATTGTGAATCTGATCGATGCATGTCGGACAAACGTATACTGTAAAATGTTAGGTCACATTTCAGATCTTGCTTGAACAAGGACAAATATAAAGAGCATCCCTGATGGTTTATTTCCTGGTCTGAAAGCTCAAGCTAACTTTACATATGTTAGCATGGCAACTTTGAATTGATCACTTTCACAAGAAACCTTAAATAACAGGAGAGTAACAGAAGCATCCTTAATTTTGGAATCAAATAACAGGTTGATCCTGCAAGTAAACATTCCTAGTTTTGTGTTGCTCTCAACCACACATACAGTAGAAATTAATTTTATAAAGTGAGGACAGGTGGTAGCTAGGATTCTGGTCATCAAAAACAGTTTACCACATGTAGATTTGTTAATATGGCCTATAACGTGCCTTTAAAATTCACAAAATGTTACTCAAATACAAGAAACTCATTTTGTACCAATGAATACCAATGGACAAAATCTAATATGACATCTACCGTAGGTATCCATGTGTACTTTCCAAGTATTTTCTGAGGGGGAAACGGCCAAGGAAATTTAATATACTTGCAAATTCTGTGTTAGATAAGGTACTCATAGAATACACACTACAGTTTACTCCAGTTTTTCAAAAGTTAGCCATTATAGACACTTGCCATCTACATTCAGAAAGAACACATAACAGCAAGACGTTTTTTCTCGAGATTTATTAATCCCTTAGAAGCTTGTGTTTGCAATAAAGCACATTACAAAAAAAATCAAAAGGGGTTTTCCAACTCCAGACGTGTATGAATTTACCCAACAAAGGCGAGTGTGAACACCAAGTTAAAAACACCAAATATTTTATCCATTGAGAATATGACCAATTTAATTAGCAACTTCATTAAAACTTAGGAAGAAAACAATAGATGACTAAAATCGCATCATTATTTATTTTTAATTTTTCACCCACCAAATATCAGATTAATCGAAGCCTAAAAATCTTTGACAAATGCTAATGAAATAGTTATCAAAATACATGACAATGAGTAGTATTATACGGTCATACCACAACTTCAATAAATGCCCTTACAGATACTTAAACATGGATACAATATATTGACCATCAGCCACATGACAATATGCCAGCAATCATCTATCAACCAGGAAATAAATATTAGTTCACGTATATATCACCCAATATTTTTATTACTGGTTAACATCCATCACAATATTGAACAAAATCAACAAGTATATTTGGTCAAGCCCTCGCAGTGTACGACCAAAATTTATTGATGAGAATGGTCTTCACAAAGCTAGTTGGTAACATTCATAGTATTAAATGTTATTGCAAAATGTACAAGTAGAACAGGCGAGCATAAAACACTGTGTGCAGCTATTTCAGAAGGAAGGTTGGTGGTAACCTTTTGAGGAAATTCAAGCAAATAAAAAACAACAGGTTTTGCAGGCACACAATGTCTCTTGCAAGCACCTTTCTAGTTTTGATCAGTGTAAAAGTGTGGCAGCAATATTACAATCTCAAAAGAAAATGGAATACAGGGTAAAGGTAGTTTTCAAAAAAATATAAAAACTGCAAAAACAAATGGACATCTAGCTTTAAGGGTTGACCATATACATGTCTATGGGTGGGGGTGCCACAGTTTAACATTTAATATTTGGCAAGGCATACACAGATCTGAATAACAAATTTGTCAAAAATGAAAGCATTGGGTATGTGGACTCTAAACGGAAATATCTACAGGGTGCTTACGGGCAATTGTATACTAGTAGTTACATCTGGCAACAAAATGGTGCACAACCCATAATTTGTCTATCAATTTCATTCAACTCTTTATACTAAAAAAAACTTTGCAAGCAGTTTCAACCAGTTACATCTTCAGAAGTACAAAAACAAGTTTCGTAACTTCAGTCACATGCGTTTTTCTTTTTTTTTGTTCTATAGATTTAATTAATAAAACCCCGTCTGTTAACCTAAATCAATTTAACTATGAACTAGGGTTTGGTGAAAAAAAAATGCATCAACTAAGAGCTTGATGAATTTTTAAAACTCCCACGTGCCCACATAATAATGCTTAAAAGCCTAACATGCTAAATCTTGATTCCTTGCAGATTTAAAAACAATGATTGTAGGAAAATGAATATGACAGGGAGAAATTCTACAAATACTTCTATATATATATAATGTTAATGCTACTATACACAACTTTGAAGTCCACATAGAACATTGAAAACATCCTTGTATTGTGCTATCAGCAAGACACGCACAGCTTTATCACATGAAAAAATCTTGCCATTTTCAGTTTTTTTTAAATTTTTATAACACACAGTCCAATTACAGGCTACAAACAACAAGACAGAGAAATGTTTACATAAAGAGTACTAACACTTTGTACTCGAAAAAATCTTTAAAAACAGGCTAAGAATTGTGTTAAAATGGCAATGCAGAAAATTACTGGTAGTTTACACTATACTGACAACATGGATGTATATGGATGACTACCAAAAAACTACTGTCAAAATTTATTCATACATTATTTATTTATGAAATGCAGGTGTTTGTCTACTTCTTTTTCAGAGTGAAAAATCCACCCTTCTTTTTATCTTTCTTTCCCGGTGATGTGACACTCTCTGTTGGGAAGGTAGCAGCCCTTGCTGCAGCAGACGCACCTTCAGGAGCTCCTTCAGCCACATTCTTTAAACTATCTACCCAGTGGTTCATTTCCTCATCATCTTTGGCTTGGAATAGAAACTCTGCACCATTTTCAAGTCTGAGAAATGAAACAGCAATTTATCACAGAATGTTAATAAAACTATTTAACAAAGTGGCAAGAAAGACAGCTGTCAATACTACCAGATTCTGCTGTAAATTCGCCAATCCGAAAAATTGCCTTGGGCGATTTCACGGCTGGTGTGCCCTTATTTGGGGTTCAAATTTTCAAAAAATTATCAAATATTTTTAGGGGGCTTATATTTTTATTGAAAAATCCTCCTACGCCGATTTTCAACACAGGCAGTTGAACCCCCTAAAACGAAAGAAACTATTGCAGAAGATAATCTAAAATTGTATACATTTTTTCTAGCTGGATTGAAAAGTAGACCGCGCATCTTTCTCCAAAAAATCACATTAACTAACCTTGTGCACCAAATACAATTATTTTGTTTCATTTTATTAGTTACGAAAGTATATTCTAAAAGAAGTTTCAAATAACAACGAACACAACTGCATTACTTAGTAGCAAATGATCAAGGTAGCGTAATCTGGTCATCGTAAGCGAATGATTCCAATCGCATTTTCAACACTATGCTGTAGAAATGAATAACCGCCATGTTTTGACCTGAGACGGTGTTCCTTGACCTGACAGGTCAAATCGATAGATGATGCTAACATGTTCAAATTACCATAGCTCATTTAAAATATGTTAATGTTATTGAACGCAGCCTGACGGAAGAGATTTGCCGATGTTGTATGATCTTTTGGCTTGGATTTTGATGGGAAAGCAGCATGATTTGTTTTTAAATAAAAAAAAAATCAGTCGTTTTCAAAAGATAAACTGAGAATTTGAAGAATAATTTAACATTGTTTACAGCTTATTGTCGAAACGAAGCTAACCATACATCATCAATACTCTTGAATAGACGTCAATGACTACGGGGACACTTCTAGGTATCAAAAAAGATTAAAATAACACCTTAAAAAAAAAATGCCTAAAAATCAATACATTGTACAGCAAATACTTCTTAATACAAGTCATTGAAAATGACACAGTCCCCGTTAAATTTTTGAAAGTTCTCTTTGTGCTTGTCATATTAAAGCGAGGGGGGAGGGGTTGTCGCGAGCGTGTCCTTGAAACTTGAGTTCCAAGTGGCGTATACAACAGATTGTTTATTTACATCAAAACACGTGTTCCGTGTAGTAGTAAATATGGCTAAAAATAAAAACAGCCGTTACTTGGCCATCTTTGATCTAATTATGAAACAAACTGATATGTATGATGTATGTGCCAAATACAAATGAAAATGGTACATAAATTGTGGAAATATAGCAGTAAGGCCAAAAAGTCAGATGGCTGTCAATCGGCCATCCTTGACCAGATTTTTAAACAAATTGTCATGGACATGCATCCTAACATGTATAAAGTATGTGCCAAATTTGAATGAAAACTGACAGAGCACTTACAAGATACCGCATAAAAAAAAAAAAAAAGATGGCTGCCAGTCGGCCATCTTTGATCCAATTGTGAAATATATCATCATGGACATGTATTCTAACGTGTATAATCTATGTACCAAATTTGAATGAAAACTGACAGAGCATGTCCAAAATACAACATTTTCAAAAAACAAGATGGCTGCCAGTCGGCCATTTTGAATCAAATCGCTAAACCACTGCATGTGCATATGTCCCAGATAAAGTATGAGGCACATGCAAAGAAAGAACGGAATCGGTCCAAGGGATTCTGAGATATGACTCCGGACGAACGCAGGGACGGAGACCGAATTATAAGTCCCCGTTTTTTGACTTCGTCCGAACGGGGACTAATAAAATATGGATTGTTCAATAATAGTTTCATGAGTTGACATTGTAGAGAGCAT